CTAGGGATAACACTTTCATCAAGGGGGTCATCGGGCACTGGGCCTAAAACGATCATATCTTCCGCTGGTGCACCTCTAGATTGTTTGCTACTACCTAACATTAAAATAGAACACACACACACACACACACACACACATATATATATATATATATACACACATATATATACATATAAATACATATATATATATATGTATATATATGTATATATATGTGTATATATATATATATATATATATATATATGACATATTGTGACTCACTGTATCAGTATGTTATTATTAAATAAAAATATTTAATAGTAAACAATAATAAGTACGTAAATTATTTACTTGTGGATGCAGTGCTTGCAAAACGGCCACTGACACGTGGAGGAGCAGGTCGTGCAGGAGCCTGGCGTGGGGGAGAAATGTCCTGGTAATCTCTAGACTCAAAGTCCTCAGAATCCTCTGAGAACTGCAGACTCTCGAAATGAGACTCTTCATAATCACCCTGCTGCTCGAAGCGGGATTGCTGAGCTCTAAAACTGGTATGTACCAGAGTGAGGCGTCTCGAAGCGCCAGCCTGAAAATCCCTAACCCGCTGCTTGTGCAAAGACTGGTCAGCATGACTAGTCTATCTCAGGAGAATCTGACGCTGCATATCAGCGTCTCTCGCCCGAACATATCGACTCCTAGTATGTCGTGGTCCAGAATAAAAAAACTCGATATCCTCTGTATCAGTGGCCGGTCGCGCATGTCTATCACCAGTCTAAATCAACAATTTAAATTAATTATCAGTAAACAACTTTTTTTAATTCATATATTTCATTAATTATTATAAAATAATTACAATTAATTATTTATTACTAAGATTTACGCATGCTAATCATAATTACTATTTCCTAAAATATTAAATAGTAATAATATTTTAAAAGAAATTACCTATTAACTAATGTGTATAGTAAATAAATATTTAATTCAAATACATTATTAAATATTACAAGTAATTATTTTTCTAATAATAATATAAGTTAGATGCATTATCCTATGAATAAATAATTAGTTTGTTATAAATAAATTTAACTCTCATTAAAATAATTTCATATAATTACATTTAACTAATATATATAATATAGTCTTTAAAAGTATTAAGAAAACATTATAATAATTATTCATAACCATATAATTAATATATTCCACTTTTTGATTATATAATTATACACTAATTAATTAATAAAATTATACAATTTTTAATTTATATTAGAATACTAATTATTTATTAATATATAAAGAGACAATGATATTTTTAGTCTCTCTCTCTCTCTCGCGATTTTTTCCTCTTCTCAAAACCTATCATCGTTCCTCTCTATTCGCCGTCGATTAGCCTTCCTCGGCGACGGCGGGGCCTAGCCAGCGGTCGCCCCTGACCGCTCCTCCAGCCTTGGTCGTCTTCTCCCCGAAATCTGCTGCTTTTCTGCTGCGTTAACCCTCAAGCGACGAAGAATTGAAGGCTCCAGATGCCGTCCCCGCGGTCGGAATCCTGTCGGCGATGGGTGGCTTCCTCCCAGACACCGGCGGCCCTTCGATTGTAGATGGTAAGCTCCTCTTATTTCTGCTTTGTCGGCGTTTGGAGCTTCCTGTTGCTCGTTTCCATTTCTCCGGCGGGGCGTCCAGTGGGTGGTGGTTTGGAGTCGGAATCTCGTGGTGGTGCTCGGTGGAGTGCGAGTCCGAGGATGGGGAGGCCCGGACTGCTGCGACGTCTTCGTTTGTGGTGGTTGGGGTTGTTGAACTGTACCACCTAACCCCCTCCCCTGTTTCGGCTAGTGGTGTTAGGCGGAGGGGGTCCGGGAACCTGACTCTTTTGAGCTCGACTAGTGGTGTTAGACGGGTTCGGGAGGGCGGGTGGGGTTGGGTGTGTCGGTTTCTCTCGGTTGGAGGTGGGTCGATTCGAGAAAGGGTTCGGGGCTCGGTTTTGGCTACTGTATAGGCAGTTGTGCAGTTTCGGTAGTGGGTTCTCGGGCTGGGTCTCTTTCTTGTGTCGATTGCTCACTGTTGGTTGGGTCTGCTCGTTTGTCGGCAAAGGGCTGTTCTTTATTTTAGTTTATATGTCTTTTTGTTATGTGTTTGTTTGTATCTGTGTCGGTGTTGTTTTTGTGTTTTAGGTTTGGGTCGTTGGCCTCAAAGACAATGATATTTACTTGAAATAGTAACTAAAAACCAGTAAAAAAAAACATTTGATTTACTTCCTAAAAATTCATATTTACTAAATTGGTAAATCTTTTTTCCATAATTTGAAAAATTCCGCCTAAATTAATGTAAATAATGTATTGAATCATTTTGGTCAAATCTTGCGGCTATGACCTTTTTATTAGTTGCGTGATTTAAATTTGGTATATAATATATTGACAAAAACTTGCAGTTGTTACCTTTATTAGTTCCATGGTTTAAATTTGTTATATAATATATTGAAAAAAAATTATTTAAAATTAAAAATCAAAAAAATAATTATTCATAACTTACGGGTGAATATTAACTTGGACGTAAACGAAATAGTCAATTATTTATAGTTTAATAAATTACATAATAACTTACGGGTCAATACTAACTTGTACGTAGACAAAATAGTCAATTATTTATAGTTTAATAAATTACTCAACTACTTATTTGTTTATTTGAATAGTTTATACAAAAATAAATATATTTTAATTAGTGAAATAATATAAATTTTATATTTATACTTATTATTTACTTATTATTTACATAGGTTGTTAAATATATGATAAAATTTTACTAAAATTACTATTTTATGGAATCACATTATAGTCAAATCGAATTTCTGAATATAATTTTAAAATGACACTTATTTTGAAACGAATATAATGTAATTTATTACCAGTTATGTGCACCACACGGGTTGTGTACTAATTTTAAGTAGACATTTTTATATAATTTTGGACCATTAAACTTTATATAACATTTTCAATAAATTATTATAGGTAAATTGTATTACATATTGATTCCATATTTTTAATTTATAAATATTATTTAATAAGAATTTAAATTTATAAATATTAATGAATATCTCTTACCCGTGCACTGGACGGGATTTATACTAGTAATTTTTTAAACTAATTATTACTCAACAAACCATTTTATTACATATATTACTACTAATTCGTTTCCCAAAAATATTAAAGTGAGATGCATTATCCCATTAATAATTAGTATTATAACAAAGTATTATTATCATAATTTTAATATAATAACATTTATCTAACATATATATAATATATTATTTATAAGCAACATATTATATGGGAAATGCTCACTGCCCACGGTGGACATATATACATGTGCCCACCGTGGGCATTTGAGCATTTCCGCATATTATTAATAAGTATTAAACCAAAATTTATCTGAATTAACCTAAATCAAAAGATTTGTTCAAATTCTACTTCTAAATATTTAAAATATTTAAACATATTAAAATAATTTCAATTATTAAAAAAAAATAAATAAATAAAATCAAACTCGCCGGCGGTCGACCGGCGAAGCCGCACTGTCCGGCGGCCGGCCGGCAATCGCAGCTGACCGAAGGTGCGGCCAGCTCTGAAAATCGGCCGCGATCGTCAGCCGGCCGGCTAAAACATCAAAATTTTTTAAAAATAATTTACTTAGCGGAAAAAAAACATATCGGAGGAATCATGGGACCTTTGTCTTTGCTATGGGGACGATTTGCCACTTTTTTGAAATGATTTGGTAAGAATCAGGCCGGGAAGTTTGGGAGTGTTTTGAAAATTTTTTGGAAGATAGGAAATTATGAGGGGAGGCAAAATGGTCAAGGGGGTGATAGGTAGTAATAAGGAAGGCGGTGTTTAGTGATTTACTTTTTTATCCTTGCAAATTTAATGGTTAAAATTACTAATAAGCGATTTACTTTTTTATCCTTGCAAATTTAATGGTTAAAATTACTAAACTAGCCCTTGTTTATTGCCTCAACCTAAGTTTTCAATTTTGCTATAAACACAATTTCTCCACCTTTTAACCTTCTTGCCAACAATTTTGCCACTCGTTAAAAATTATCCATAAAAAAATGTACCTCTAGCTACAGAACTAAACCGATTACCACATCGAGAAGTGACAAACACAGCCTTGTTTTGCATTTGAACCCAATAATCTCACTCAAAATCGGGAATGCATAGGGCTTGGGGTTACTCTACTAAGCTCAAACTCTTTCAAGCTCCTCGATTTGCTTGTATCGGTGTATTTTCCCATTATTGTACACTCCAACCCATAATTCACCACATATTTTACTCACCTAAATTAATGATTTATTCAATTTCGAGGAGAAAACTGAAAAATCATTTAATTTGCAGAGCTTTGGTCAGTCCACAAAGATCCAATCTGGTGCTAGCAGCTCAAATTCTTGTGGGTCAATAATCGACATTAAGTATATTAACTTGAAAAATAAATTCGCTGATGAAAAGGGGGCATCTGAGTTATTTGGCCACCCTTTGTTGTTCTACTCAGTAACAAGAATGTCTTCACAAGGGGTGGGGCGATTTGGGTGTTATAAGGTTAAATGGGGAAAAATTGTAAACTAACCTTCAATCCCTATGAATCAGTGATAAAAGATGAACACAATGAAAAAGTAACTCAAATGGAGAAAATAGACAATTCAACCATAGAAACATGATACATTTCATATATATAGCTAAGCCTGAAACAGTACACATAAAAAAAAATGTGTTATCCTCTCGGTTCAAGTAATCGAGCCCTTAACAGATATGAATGAACCTCAATGAGTAATATATGTACGAATAGGAGTTCAACGTACAACTGAGCTAACAATTTAAACAAACACAAACATTAATAATTTCGGTTTTGCTTCTGCTTTTGGTTGATTATAAGTTGTGTTTTGTGCTCTAGTAAGGTGATTCTTATCTGTGTTTTTCACATGGAGAAGTGCTGTAGATAACAGAGATGTTTAGCTATTAAGAATATACACAAATCAAAACACGACCAGTTGTTCCTAAAGATAACACAGGATGTAATTTTATGTTCATAAACATAACACAGGATGAAACTTTTGCAGCCATATTACATTAATCGTGAAGACATTATTAAACATTCAAACAATAACACTCATACAACAGAATACACACAAACTGCTGTTTAAAACTTGAAAACCTCAACTCACATTCTCGCAAACACCATTACTGCCGCATACTCTATAAATTAATGGCGTCTGTCTAGTTTTAGACTCAAACGACAGAGCAACATAAAAATACACAGCTTCAGATATAAAAAGACTGCATGCATACAGATCAAATAAACTCAAACCTCATGAGCAGCTTAACAGAGTTGTACCTCTCCCCCTTGTAAGAATGAAGTGGGACTGCGCGAATACCCTTTCTCAGCTCGGACACCGGAAGACACGTTTGTCCTGCAAAGTCATCTTTCTCGGACAAGTCATGCTCGTGGACTTCGATCCTGAGTAGGGCAAGCTCGGGAACTGTCAATGGGAACTCGAAAACTTCGTCCCATGTGGGTATCCAGTTGTCCTCAAGGGCTTTTGTTTTCTTCATAACTACATCTGCTGGGACCCCCGCAATTCCCACCTGCAGGATACACAGAGCTACTTAGTATTGCATTACAATAAAAAAAACTTAACTCCAAGCAAGTTTTGTAAATCAATTGGCTCAAAAAAGCTAGGGAATAATCTTATTGAGATAATGCATGCTTGTTTATGAGTTAATTTGCTCATCTTTATCTCATACTCAAAATCTAACTCAACTTTAACTCAACTCCACTATCATTAATATTATTCATATAATTAAATAATACAAACCAATCATTCTTACACATCATATCAACTTGAATTCACTATTCATCCACTCACATAATTTTAAACTTTTAACTACCTATCATTCCCAATCATTTATCTCATACTTTTACATCAAATCAATTTTAATTATTTTATTTTAAATATTATTTTAATACATTTTTAAAATTCCATTAACAACTAACTATACCACGTTTTTCAAAATTAACTATGGTTAACCCAAAATAACTCATTTTGAACAAATTATTTCAGAAACAAGGTACTACCCTTGAGGTCTACTCGCATTTTGATTTTATTATTTATTTATTTATTTTAAGAAAAAGGCTGGAAGCACAACAAAACAATTAACAATATATGTCTACCATACATACAACTGCATGCACAGGAGGGTTGTGTTTTGTTACGCTCATTGGCTACTTGCTATTGTAAAAGATAAACATTTTCCTTCTTGTTACTAGAGTTGATAATTGTGGTGATTTTTTCTTTTTTTTTTTTTCATAAGCATTTAAGGAATAACTTCAAGATAGCGCACCCATAATGCCAGAACCTATATTTGACTTAATAAGTTACTTTTTTAGACCTTAACACTGAAGTCTCTTCATAATACCAACTAACTGGAGTAGTCTAAATGATTAGCCTAAAAAGATATTAGCGATGACCCAATTTTGGTAAGGTGAAAGTCAGAATCTACACAATAGCCGATATAATACCAGAGCTAACAAGAAATTAGTATGCAAGCACATGAATAGTTAAAGTATATGCTAGCTCACTAACCCTAGCATAGAAATCCGGAGGAGAATAAGCATCGAAGTGTGTATGCTTAAAATCATAATACCATCCTTCACCCATATATACAGTCACCTGCAGAAAGGAAGTAAAGAATGACATGAAGAAAAATTTACAAAAACCATTAAATATGAAAAAGATCTATGCGGAAAACTTGTGGCCTACCTTCAAAGTAGTTTTGACGGGTAATGTAACCTTAGGGTCAAAGATTTCGCCACCATCCTTTAACAAAAGGGTTGGTTTTTTTATGTATCCACAGCCACCATTGGCCTTAAACATGCCTTGCATCAACCAAAGTGATCTTCCATAACCCTGTTTGCACATGAATGAAATCCATTAATATATAAAGAGGTAATGATATTTACTTGAAATAACAACTAAAAATCAGCAAAAAAACATTTGGTTTCCCGCCTAAAGTATTTACTATTTTGAGTAATATTTTTTGCCAAAATTTAAAAAATCCCACCTAAATTAATGTATAGAATCATTTTGGTTAAATATTGCGGCTATTACCTTTATTAGTTGCATGATTTAAATTTGGAATATAATATATTGAAAAACTTGCAGCTATTAACTTTATTAGTTGCATGGTTTAAATTTGGTATATAATATACAACAACAACATAGCCTTTAGTCTCAAGCAAGTCGGTGGAGGCTAGAGATGAAACCCAAGAGAAACACAAAAAGGCTCGAACCAAAAGGAAGAGATCGAAAAAAAAATCGAGAGAGAGAGAGAGAGAAAGGAGCAAAAGTTAATAAAATATAATTATTCATAACGTACGGGTCAATATTAACTTGGACTTAAACGAAATAGTCAATTATTTATAGTGTAATAAATTACTCAACTACTTAATTTTTTTTATTTGAATAGTTTATATAATAGTAAATTATTTTAAGTAATGAAACAATATAAATTTTATATTTATACATATTATTCACATGAATTGTTAAATATATGATAACATTTTGCTAAAATAACTATTTTATGGAATCACATATAGTCAAATCGATTTTCTGAATTGATACTTATTTTGAAACGAATATAATGTAATTTATTATCAGTTATGTGCACCGCGCGTGTTGTATACTAATTTTAAATATTTATTCTTATGTAATTTCGTATAATTTAAACTTTATATAATATTATCAATAAATTAATATAGGTAAATTGTATTACATATTGATTTCATATTTTTAATTTATAAATATTACTTAATAAGAATTTTTAATTTATAAATATTAATGAATGTCTCTTACCCGTGCACTACACGGGACTCCTACTAGTACTAATAATGCACATGCACAAACTCTTTTTTGAGTTGTAAAAAACAGAACCGAGAATGACGAGAACAACCATCTGAGTAAGCATTATTTCTTTTGGATACAAACAAACAGACAATATAGTAAGCCTTATACCATTTTACCTCCGTTTGACTAATTTCCTATAACACTCAACTACTGCACTTGAATAGTTTCTGAAATTGATGTTTGATAGTCACTCTAAAAAAATGTTTTTATTTTTTAAAGATTTTACTTTTATCTTTCCCTTTTCACCCCTAAATCACATAGAAGCTTACAATTCTTGGCTACAGATGTAAACACAGCATCTCTATGACATACTCGCATCTGTGATATATGCCTTATACTGAAGTACAAGTAGCATATTCATAGCATCTAACAACCTAGCTTTCCGCTCATTATCATGTATGTTCACATGAATTTTAAGCAAACAAAGTTATGGAGTTGTCACAATTACCGAATCCCTAAATTTAATGAATAACAAAATATAAGCTTACTTGCATATTGAATGCAACCATTTGAGCACCATGCATCCATCCAATCAGGGGATTGTAGTTGGACGAGTCAAAACGTGTACCTTTTGGGTACACTCTCAGCAAGTTCCTCTGAGTAAACCTGAAGCAAACAGAAGCAAAATCTTTAGGAGAATATAATGTATGGTTTATCACTCAGAATATATTAACATTTCAGGTAAATTATTCCACAGGAAGTGAAAATTAATGAAAAAGGTACTTACTCGGGAGTTGAGCAGCACATAAGTCTGTTGAGGGGGATGTTCTAGAATCTATATCATGCTAAATTATTTGTCTTTTTACCAGATTAATATTCTATAAAATTGGATTAGTAAGGATAAGAAGTATTCCGCACATTTCAGTTCTTACTAACATCCATAAGTCTAACCGGTACAGTCTATTGTATATCTTGTATCTCTGGAAACATTTTCTAGATATAGAAAGAACCAAAACACATACTTACAATACTAAAGCATTCCACAACATTAACCACTTCAACACGGAAAATAGAATTAATCATTCTCAGGATAACGCCTAACACAACTGAAAGTACCTGACAATATCTTTGGAATAAGTTATAATGGCCTTCTCCAGCTCTTGCTCGCTTAAGCTAAGGCGTCTCACTTTATCAGGATCCACCCTCAGCCAGTCCTTCATTCCTCCTTTCCCTTTTCCAGCATGAATAGCAATCAGACGTCTATATTCTGGTGCCACATTTTGCAATGACTTAGGATCCTCTTCTTCTTCATCTTCTCCATCACCCTCCCCATCTAAATCATCATCCTTGAACGAATAAAAATAACTGTTAATAAAATCGGGCGCTTAAAAACTACAAGAGATGAAGTAAAGCATGAATTAATAGTTAAACAGACCTTGTCTTCCTCAACTTCGGGCTTGAAACTTTTTATTTCACTCCCCCAATGCTCTTCCTTAGCATGATCCTTGCCCTTCTTTGAGCCGTTCTCTTGTATTTTAACATCTTTGGCCTGTAAGTACTTTTTAGGTGGCTTGGTTGATATTATAACCCTTCTCTTCAGAGATTCTGGGGAGGGGAACTCACTCAGGCATTCTGGGCCCGAGGAAAAGAGCATGTCTCCAAATGTTTGAGTAATCATCTAGATTCAGTCATCAGGAAATAAATTTACGAAGAAAATGAAATTGGATTATTGAACTCAAGTGATCTCAAATCATACCTCGGCTGTTTTTGCCTGAAGGTCTGGAGTAAGATGATCTTCAAGTGTTATAACAACAGGATACTCGGATGCAGCAAACGCATGTTCCTTAATAGATCTCAAACATTTGATGAGTTCGACAGGGGTGGTCAGTGTCCTTACATCAAAGATAGAAACAGGAATTTCGGAAAATGTTGATGAGTAAGTAATTTTACACTAAAAATGTTAATTGCATTCATTAAATCACAACAAGGATCACCATTCACGGAGAACAATGGAATTAATTGGGAAAATTAAAAAAACTAGACACGATTAAAGAAGAGCAATACCTTCCATGCAGAACGTTAATATTGTCTTTCGTGGAATTTGGCCATATATCCAATTCAATAACCCGCACACCACTGCGAAGTGCCTTTATGATTGGAACATCACTGCAATCACTACTTAGTTGATTGCCCGTTAGATACGAATTGTGGCCGGTGTATATGAAGTAATGTGACAGTGGTGCATTCATATCATGGTGAACCTGAAAAGGGAAAATTAAATTATATAATTAGACAGCAAGTCTACAATGAGACAGGCCCTCGTAAATTTTACTTGCAACGCATACTTCTTGAGCAATCAATCGCTCAAGTCAAAAGTTATACTCTTTCAAAACAACTATTTACATAGTTTGAGATATGGCTTTTCACCCTCCAAGTGAATTTTATTTGATAAGAATCACCATAATAAATTCATGAGACTGTCTTATTCTAGGTTTTGTGTTAGCCATGTCAATTTTTTGTTTCTCTTTTCTTTTCAGCAACAAAAGATAGTTTGTCCAGTAACCCAACATGAATCATTTCCAAAGTGACTTGAAGCGGACAAGAATAAAATAAACCTAATAGATTCTTTTTTTTGTTTTTTTTGTTTTTTTTGGTTGAAAAAAAGTGATATCTACCCGAAATTTGAACATAAACTTCAAACAAGTTACAAGTTTAAGCTGGAAAAAATACGCCGTAAAAACGTTCTAAGAGATCACAGTATTGGTTCACTTTCACTAATGTCCTTATTGGACCACTTTATACATTATATCAAATCAACTTTCATCATCGTAAATTCCTCATCTAACAACCAGACTTCAAGCAGAAAANAAACATTTTTAAAAGAAATTTCCAAAATGAAAGTAAATGGATTAGAGCTTTTCCAAAGAGTCTTAATCAAGTGCTGTGACAGTGCACACGGAATTTCCCAAAGTTGAAAAGTAGCGAGGGCACCAACAAAATTACTAAAATTAGAGTGAAATCAAATCCAACGAAAACTCAAAAGAGGCAAAGAGAAATGACCCCGAGTTTGGGATGAAGAGGTGGATTGGCATCCCCAAACAAGTACTTGAAGAATCCCTCGAGATTGAGGCCTCGCTTATGAAATATATTGAGATGCTTCAGCTCGTGAAGACTGTCCATCACCGCCTGCGCATCCTCCGGCGTCGTGCCCTCCTCCCTCTGCACCTCCACTAGAAACCGCCGCATCTGATCAACGCTCATCACCCCATTCTCCGAATACTCGTCGAAGATGGCTTTTATGTCCTCCGGCGCCTCCGCCGCCGCCATCTTGAACCTCCGCCGGAAGCAGAAGCACACTCTGTAGGTCTGCTTGGACATTGAATCCAATTTAGCTCTGAATCTGCTCTTAGGAAAAAGCGAAGGATTATGATTGGATCGAGTAGGACAGAAGACAGTGATGTGTGAAATGAGTTAAGAAAATGGTGGTCGCCTCGCCGCCTTGGACTGGCCGCGTGTTGGAGGCCGTACGGAATACTGAGGTCGGTTATGAGTAATTAGTTTGCCGGCAGAGCATGTGGCGGAAGGTTTGCTGTGCCAGTTAAGTTATTATATTACTATAAGTTAAGTGTGGTGAATATTTTTGACTTAGTCGTATCAATTAATTAATTTATTAAGCATATTATTATAGGAACAAAATAAAATGTAGAACAAATAAACTCTTAATATCTTTTTTTTAAATTGAAATATAAAAAATTCAAACCGAAAAAATCTTAGTTTGGTCGTTCTCGGTCACTAGTGTGCAGTCTGATATACATTAATGTGCAACTTTTCTAACACGAATGTGCACTCTCACTGTTGCTTTTGTGCAACGTGAATTAAAACTAACATTAATTATGTGATGTATTTTATCGGTTAATAATATATTTAGTATTTTAATAATTTATTTTAATAAGTTTTTATATTACTCAATTTTCGTATAGACAAATTGGTATCTACCGTGGAGGCATTGCCCTATGGGGTGAGAACAAATTTCATCTCCAAATAAAAGTTTACTTTCCAAAATCTTGGTTACATGTACTTCTCTCGAAGTGCTAAAGTATTTTTGAAATCATCACTTATTACATGAAAGTATGTATTCTAAAGTAATTGCACATATGTTCGAGCACAATACACCAATGAGATTGTAAATATTCCTATAAAAAGTGGCTACTTCATTCAAATACTCAAAAATATTTTGATCACACTCCGACATTACCTTTTCAATATTCTTTATTAGAATGATAAGCGAACTATATAATCTATTGTTTGCAAATCATTGGTCTTTTTTATTGTTGCAATGATTTTAGAGTTGTTTATCATAATATGTTTCACATATCGTTCAAATTTGCAATATTTATGTGGCTAATAACTTATTTAATGCTTTTATTTTCCAACTTTTTGCATCATACATAATGCTTCAAAAATTCAAGACAAAGATCCTTTCTTCATTCTTCAATAATGACAAAACAAAATAATGAGACAATATTGAGAAGAATATCATTTATCAAAATATTTGAGAGGGAAAAACGTAGATTATATTATCTTATGATACTCTTAGTCAGATGTGAGCTTTATTATTACAAATTCATTATGAAAATCTACATAAGGTATTACAGTGTTTACAATTTTTTAGTTATTTAAATTTCAAAATTGACAATGTACGATCATTATTTATGAGAACAATTTGTCGCAGAGTCCATATATTTAAACACTTGAAAAAAAAAATAGTAAGTTTAAAAGACTTTTATTCTTATTATTGATATTCAAACTTCACTAAGAAAACTGAGACTTTTTTTTTTCACTGCATTATGATTGTTTTATTTATTTCTTATTCTATTCACACACAACATTTTATTTGTTAGAGCACATTTATATATATTGCGTTATTTTTTTATTCGTGTTTTATATATGATGTTGTTATAAAAATATTTTATTTATTAGGCTACAATTTAATAACATAAGATACTATTGATGAAAAATGTACTTTTATAATGTTTATAAGATTAAAAAGTTTAAGATTTTTTTCCAATGTCTTATAAAATATTTTGTAACTTACTCATTTTCATATTTACATAATATATATGTTACAACCATTATGTGTTTCCATTTCAAGCAGTAATTGAATAATAGTTTAACATACAATTCACTTATTTCTCCTTTTAATTCACATAGTTAATGTTGGTAATAGTTGTACGTTTACATCCATATTGTAATTTCTTCTTAGTATGAATATTTCAAATTTATGCAAGGAAAATATACTGATATGGGATAACCGTACCATGACGACTAGACCAAAAAAGCAACCAAACTGAACCAAACCGGACCAGTCATCAGGTTGAACAGAAAATGAGGACTTCATAGGTAGAAGGGGCCCCAGATCAAGAAGACGTCAAGAACACAGAAGATATTAGCAGATCAAATTAGTGTATTCGGTTGGTCTGATTGAAGTTCGATCTGAAGGAGCATCTGGTCGAAGTATTGACCAAATGGGCGTAACAGCAGAACTCGACATCAATGGTACTCTACCTCGAGGTAATCGATGTCAGTCGTACAGTTAGACCGTCTAATGAAGAAGACTAAAGGATAAGAAGGAATGTTATGGGGATTAAACCCTTACATGGATATGACCACGTAGCCTAATAGAAATGGGTAGTTTGGGCAGTCTGGGCAGTACGAACGGGCAGTCTAGGCAGCGGGTTGGCTTGGGCAACAAGATATCATCTCCTTGTATAAGGGAGTGGGGTGTGACCTGAATTGCATCACACTCTCTACATACTTTACATAATGCACTTCATCTTCTACAAGTGCTAACCGAAGCATCAGAGTCTCTTCATTGGAATGCCTATCCGGTGTGAGAGTTCTAAAGGTCCAAAGGCATTCAACCGGTAGAGGAGCTAAGGATCAGGCCGGTTCCAACTGGTCGGAGGTCGTTTGCATACGATTTGGCGCCGTCTGTGGGACTTTCGTTCAAAAAAGCCAGCAATCACCATAGCCATGGCCGGCAAAATTCCCAAAAAGAACTTGGATCATAACTTTGAGGATGTGTGGCCGAACACGCGTCCGCTCAGAGTAGGCCCGCTGTCGAGTTTCTACAAACCTTCTAAGACCACGATGACCTTGACTATAACACCCCGCGTTTATAATGCTTGAAATCAGAGTAAATTTTTTGATTTTCAAGCATTATAAAAGAGGGGTGTTACAATTGGTATTAGAGCGCGGTTTGCGTTTCTGTATACTTAAAGTGTTAAATAAAAATATTCTTACAGCTACGACCACACCACGCTCAGGCCGCGCCGACTCTGAGGTAAAGAATGAAGTAAGTTTTCCATACAGTCAGTATATTATCTTTGTTTTTTGAGAACTCTATATTGTTCGATTAGATGAAATTCTAGAAATATGTAAGATATCAAGTAGCTAGTGACTTATTAGCCATACTACTAAACTCTTATAATGAAATAGCAAATTAGCTATTCAGATGACGAATCGCAGAGTTCAAGTCTTTATACCAGTGGAAGCAGATCTTGATCAATCACGAATAATTACTGAATTTCGTGGATCCCAGCCTGATAAGTTCAATGGGCAAGGAGATCCACGAGTAGTGGACGAATGGTTACGAAGTCTTGAAATGATTTTTGAAGCAATGGGATGCCTTGAACAACATCGAATTCCTTGCGCCCAGTTTCAAATGACAGGGGATACTAGCCTTTGGTGGTTAGCATATTGGGACATGAGACCTGGCGAAAAAGCATGCCTAACTTGGTCACGTTTTAAGGATCTTCTACGTGAAAAGTATTATCCGGCTCACTATAGGGCTTAGATGGAGAGACAATTTCTAGCTTTAGAGTAGAACAACATGACTGTGGATGAATATGAAAGAGAATTTACTCGTCTGGGGTTCTTGGTGCCCTACATGATAGATACAGAGGAAAAACAATCCAGGAGCTTTAGTGACGTATTGAGAGATAATATCCGCCATCACCTCTCCGGATTGGGAAAATTAACTTATGTTGAAACGGTTAACCGAGCTCAGCAAATTCATGCTAGTCTCCAGAGAGAAGCCAACCGTAGTCGTCAACCAATCAGGTCACAAACAGCATCACCCTCAACTCCTCTTACATCTAACCAGCAGGCCAATGATAGGAAAAGGAAGTGGAAGAACCGAAATGACGATAAAAGAAATCGTTAGAAGAAAACAGGACATGCAGACCAACAAGCACCTCTGGTGCCGGCTTGCGATAATTGTGGGAAAAAACATCGGGGAGAATGCTTAGCGGGGTAAGATGTCTGCTATACGTGCCGAAGGCCGAGACACACAACCCGTACCTGTCCTGATCGAGTTCAAAACCAGCAGAGTCAGCACCAGCAGGCCCATAATCAGCAGCAAAGAGCGCAGGCTCGAGTCTATGCAATCAATCCGGCAGAAGTGAATGAACAACCAGGTACCATGTCAGAAATGGATTCGTTATATGATGTACCTATCTTAGCATTATTTGATACTAAGGCAACTCAAATTTTAAAGGACTAAATGTGGAAAAGCCATATAAATATGAAGAATTCATACGATTAATGCCCTACCCTTGAAAATTAATCTAGTTTTAGGGATAAAAGATAGAAGGAGAATGGCATAAAACTCTAGCATTTGTATAGGCTTTAGAAATTTTAATGGCTAACATATATGTGATTGAACAAAATGAACTGGATATCATCATTGAGAAAAGTTGGCTAGTATAGTAACCAGACTAATTTTGCATGATGATAATGCTAAAATGAAGTTGCGGTCAGCACAGATAATTAAGAATTACAAAAGTTCAATGGAAACTCCAAGGAATCATTTTATTTATTACCAAGTACAAAGATAAGGACTAGCAAGAATAATAAAACCTCAAAATTACATCACAAAACCCAAAGTAAGGATGTGTTTCGAGAGTCTAGTACTCCATAACTCTGCCACCCATATTAATAAGTTTTTGGGTTTACAATGAAAGATCTACTGAGTCACAAGCTCGTTTTCACTTAATCCCTAGAGCTTCCACAGAGTCTTGAAAGTTGATGCTTTGTTGAAGCTTCTTGATAAGTTCAGCTGTAGTATCTACAGATTTGAAGATATCTCTAGTTGAAGCATATATAAAGTTTTGATATAAACCTTTATCTAAGAATCCTAGCAAGTCCTGGAAGAAATTATGGAAATTCAAGAGATCTATGAGTTTGTTATGCAGTTTCATATCAGCCCAAGAAGCAACAGTGAACACAGTCATCATGGTTCCATATCCACCAGGATGAACAATAGATGCATCACTGTTGTTCACCATATACACCATACAGTCAGAAATAGTATGAGTTAGCATCAAACTCGAAGAATCTTTGACAACCTTGGTGGATGCTCGGTGAAAAGGTGAAAAGGTATAACACTTTTCACTTCAATGTTGAGGCATCTCCCAGCCAGGAGTAGACTATCATAGAAGGTGATACTAGTACCCCCAAACAATTTATTAATCTTGTGAATTCACTAGTTGGGATACAATCTCAATGCTTTGAGCAGATGAAGTTATAAGTTTAGAACCGCCAAGAACACATATGGTTCTCAACGACTGAAGAGATTTAATTTCATGAGAAGACTCAGCAATCTCCATTGGTAAG